TATATATATATATATATGCACGATGACGAATTAATATTGAACATACGATACAACATTCACAGTTATGTAATCATTACTTCCGTTACAAAGAAGGAATCATATGACATTTCTTCCAGCTATTTTATTCAATAATAAAAATTTATATAAGATTTCAACTTAAAAAGACATATGAAAAAATTGGAGAATATTTAGGGTGATCCAGTTTATACGAAATACGACCTTGAGAATATCAAGCTGAAGAGAACACTTCTCTTTCGAAGACCTTGAATAGAGACATTAGAGAGAGAGAGAAAGAAGAAAAAAAAGAAATGAGAATCTCTTTTTCTTTCCTCTCTTCTTACTCCTGGTCGCTTTTACACATACGCATATTACATTCAATTAGATCACTGTCGATCGATACATCACCAAAAGAGTTAGCGTTTTGGTAATAATTATGATGAAATAACCTTGTAATCAATGGCAGTGTCCTTGGTCGCGCATTTTCTCTTTGCCTTGAGTTTTATACGAATATAAGCAAGGTCATGATTTTAAAAACTGATACGACATATATATATATATATATATACATATGTGTATATATTCTTCCTTCGTCATCTATTATAAGTATGTATTTAGAATGTTTTTTTTTTATTGAATGTACTTTATAATACTGAATATAGAACGAGTGAACTTTCATCATATAATAGAATGTCCCTAGAATCTATTCTCAGCTATCTATATTCTATGCGTAGAGAAAAGGAAAAAAAAATAAACTCGTTCACTCTTACATTAATCATCTATAAATATATTTTCTTTATATAAACGACGCAAAATCTATGACGTGATTCGTTATTATTTATCGATATGTCAGATAATAGAGAAAAAAAAAACTCCCCATAGATCCTAGATAGAACGAAGTCATTTCTTATTTTACAAGGACATATGAATCAATGAATATACTATTTGTTTATTACTATCAAAGTAGATATGAATAACATTATTATTGGTATATATATATCTATATGTTTTTATTTTTCTTGTCTTTCTCTCTCTCTCTCTCGTTTATATATTAAGTGCGTTTTACGATTTTCGATTAATTCAAATAATTTTCTAGATGACGAAATAAATCTATTGTTTTTCTTCGATGCTATATCTGCGAACATTAAACTGGTTTACTAAGTGCATTATTTCAATGTATTTATCTCTTTCCATTATTGCACTCAGCAACAGGTAAACATATTACGAATGAAAAAAAATGTCCTTTAAAAATACGTTTGTTATTAATTTTGTGTTTTTTTTACCACAAAAAGTGATGACAATGTTTTTTTTATTAAGACTATTGATGAAGAAATATATATATATATGTTATTTTTCTTTTAGATTCAATAACAATATTAATAATAATGAAGACATACAATGAGCGGTAAGCGATAACATCTATTTATTTTTGTGTGTGATAGACTAATGAAAATAAGTTAGAGAAGACAAAAACATAGTTTCAAATGAAAACTGATTTCTATGACGAGATAAAAAGATTAAATATGACGGTTTTATATACTGATTTTCTAGAGATTACTAATAGGTTAGAGTTAAGAGATAACGAATGATGTTTACTGATAAAAAAATTATTTTATTTCTTCGCAATTCAGATAATGACCTTGAGAATTTTGATATTTAGTTTTTTTTAATTTTCCATTAGTCTAAGAAACACTTTACGCACAACGTTATGATTTTTACGTAGAAACTATTATTATACAAAGTATAGTGACGATATTTATTTATTGTTATCAAAGGATTAAAAGCTATAAAATCAAGATAACATACAACTTGTTATCTGATTCATAATTTAGATTAGAGTTACAACTAGTAAAACATTTTTCTTAATCGATATAGTAGCAATAAGTCATTTTTCAGTCAAACATAGAAATTCTATTGTACTACTATAGTAGTTTTGATTATTTATTCTGATATATCGTTTCTTTCCCTCTCTAGAGGTCTATTGATAATCTTTGAATTTTAAGAAACGACAGTCGACCAAAATAGCTAGAATCTTGTGGCCTAGCCCCTTTTCTTGAATAGTGAAGGTCACAAGTCTCTCGCCATTTTATTTGACTGGGTTTTTTTACAACTCCGATAGTAAATAATTGCTTTCATTAACTTTGCACACTAATTAATTGTATATAATCAATTTCTTTTTCACATTTTATTTGCTATACTACATTTTATATGTATCTAAAATCTAGATAACAAAATATTAGATATTTATAAAACTGACTAATTGCGTATTCCGATAATTTTTAGTTGATAGTAGTAATTTCTTGTTATAATAATCTTTGTTTTTAGTAAAGACAGTTTAACTGCCAACGATCGTAGCACTGATCTTAATTATAAGTCAAAGCCTATTAGCACGATTGATTCTTTTTGCGTTGAAAAATATTTATGTTATTATAGTGTATCATGATATTCATAAGTATCTTAAGTTGATACAGGTTTTTTTTAGTAAGAAAGATTAAAATATTTGATAAATACTATATAGAGATAAGATGAGAATTTTTTTCAAGGTCACAAATAATTCGGAATAACAAGTGACAATCGAAGGTTATCGAGTACATCTGTTCATTTCTCTTTGTTTACCATCATTTAAGTTTCTTATATTAAAATATTACGTTTAAGTGCTGAATTCAACAGATTATAGCTAGATTTAAAAGCCAATTAAAATGATATTTTTATCAAGATTTTCTAATACTTGTTTTTATACGATTTTTTCTTTCATTGTAAAATAATTTAATATAGATAAAAACTAAAGTTGATACTCTTATTTCTAAGATTTTTTTGTCAATCAGAAAAATTCTATTTTAGGACTTATACCTGATTCGTTGCCATCTGTGAAGAAGGAACTTGTGGTTGCTGCTGCTGCTGTGACTGCATTACGTTCATATGACGATTTTGTGGTTTTTGCTGCTGCTGTTGTTGTTGCGGTAGTGGTGGTCCTGCAGGCGATGATGACATAAAAAGATCATGACTATATGGAAGATCAAGTGGATTATTATTCGACACGGATGGTGAAAATCGATGAAAATCTTGTTGCAATGATGTATTATTACCATTTGGCATCATTAAATCATTGTATGTATTCATCATAGCTATAAATAGAAAATATATTTTATTTTATATTTTTTCTTTATGAAAGAACATACGTCGATGTTGCTGTGACTGCTGTTGCTGCTGCTGCGTTTGCTGT